GCGCCGAGCGGCGAGCCCCCCGCCCCAGCCCCTCTGCCCGGCGAGCGGCCCCGGGGCACCGAGGAAGGCGGACGACCGAGGGAGCGGACGAGGAGCCACGAAGCGGCACTCGGCACAGCCTGGGGAACCTGGGAGGGGGGCCCGGCCTTCCAACAAACACAGGGTCCAACCCCTCACGGCCACCAGAGCCGTGACAGACTGCGGCCAGGGAGTTCCACGGGCAACGAGGACCCAGTGCACCCCAAAGCCGCCGTCATGGGACTGCGGAGGTGGAGCCAGGCTTGCTGTTTTAACGTCCCCATACTCGCACCATATTTACCTGCCTCCAGCTCAAGGGCTTTTGTCCTTGTTGAAGAATTGTCACAGCCCTGGATGCTTTCATCAGAAGTCTTTTAATGTTATTCACTTAATGCTATGCTAATGCAGGGCTCTAAAAAACCCAAAAACTTTAAACCCTTAAAAACTATTTTCTGATATTTGACTAGACATCAGACGCTGCTTCACAGAGAGTGACTAATGACCTGCTTTCTATAAGAGGGGGGAAAAACTTAATTATGTCCATTAAATTACTTCAAATATTTTTCCTTAGAGAATATGAATTATTTAAACTCAACACAGAGAAACCTGAAACATTAGCAAAAGCCTTCTGGGACTCGCTATGTAAATTCCCACTCCAAACAGATGGGGAAAGCATGGGGAGCTGCCAGGCAGCCACTGAAGCAATGAACAGCGCTGAGATTTCAATTCGATAGTTTTAATGAGGTCTTCTTAAGGAGAACGCCAAGCGAACAGCCACCACCCGGAGCGCCAGGAAAGGCTTCCCACCTCCCGGAGAAAGGCGGCGCGGTTGGCACAGTTCAAACCTGAGGAGCCTCAAGTAGCTCCTGAGGGGCAGACCCGATTCCTCAGGAAAGCTCGTTCTCCTCCTCTACCATACACCTCAAACCTGGAGGAACTGCACCTGCTTGGGACTTCTTTAGCTATTTTCCTCTCAATCAGTTTCCTACCAGGTGAAAAGGCAGAGGTCCGAGGCCTCACCGGGACACCAGGCACAGGCAGCAAAGGGTCTTTTCAGGCATATCTCACTGCAGAAACCTCGCGGCTCCGACCGCTCCCCCGCCCCAGAGGAGCTCTCTGCACAGCCCCCCCACCCGCAGGGGCCGGCCGCCGGTTCATGCCCGCACCCGACTTGGTGGAGAGGCAGCCGAGACCACGCTGAGCTGGGACGAGGTGCTGACCACGGCCCAAAACGGGACAGTGCCCGTGAGGAGGCACCAGCCCTGCACCCCTCTCCTTCCAGGGGCTCACACGCTCGGACCGCAGCAGCCCGTGTCCCGCACCCACAGGACTGATCCCACGCCTGGCTCCCGCCTGCCTGTGCAAGCGAGATCAAAGTGGTCACGGCACCAGGGTGACTACGGGGATGTCTGCTAAGGTAGAGGTTACATCCATTTTTACAGCTGTCATTAAACATAACCTTGCGAGTTGCAAAGTCACCAAATTGTTGTGTCAAAAGCATGACAATGGGGATATTAATGTTCTAGAGTAATTTTATAATTACAGATAAAGCTGTGGGAAATGCCTGAGTGCATTCAGAGCTTTGGCACATCTGCCCAGCCAACAGTGTGCTGCAGAGCAGCTACCGGCAACGCACCCCATTTACCCAATTGCCACCCTTCAAATTAAGGTCTGGCTGTTAGCTGGGGACCTGCAATCAACTAAAAGAATCATATTGCTGACCAAAGGCAATTCCACCTGCTTGGGCTGAGCTCAGGCACCGGGCAGACTGGAGCAGTCTGGCAGCAACATGGACTGACACAGACAAAAACTGCCAGAGGACACAGACGGCTTCTTTTACCTCTGCAGCCCCCATCCTTCTCCTCAAAGCCGGGACCACACGTGCATTTCCCGATGGGCACCAGCCACTCGCCCTCCGCGCTGCAGTGCATCCGGGGGGGATTATCCGCGTCCACTTCGGCGTGAGCAACACAAGTGCCCTTAACTTCCACCAAAGTCGCAAAGGCCGTCTCCGCCACCGTGTCCGGAAACACGGCCAGGTTCTGCATGGTGGCGAGGCACTTCTTGTAATAGACCCGCACGGAGACCAGCGCCACGCAGGCACCCACGTCCTGGAAGCCCAGGTGGAAGCCTCTCTTGCTCAGGTGCCCAATCTCCCTCAGCTCAGTGTTCAGCTTCATCTTACGCTCACCCAGGTCCCCCTGCGTGAAGCTCTCATCAGCAGCAATGGTGTCAATCTTGGTGTGCTTGCTCTCATGGACGCTAGGGCCCAGGTCAGAGTCAGACTCGACGTAGTACAGATTGAAAGTCTCCTTGCAGGTGCCCATCACGCCAGGGATGCTGTTGCAGTCCCGCAGGGTGAACTTCAGCTCAATGAAGATCCTCTGGCCATCGCGCCTGGCAATCCAGCCCGTCTGCAGCCAGTTGTTCTGGTTTGGCTCCATGACGTTGCAGACCTGGTACGTGCGTATCGGCTTGTAATTCTCATCCACGCCGCTGATCTCTTCCCACTGGGGAAAGAACACAAAGGGCGGTAACAGCTCGAGAGCTGCCGTGAGCAAGAATCAGCCGCGCTGGCAGGAACACACCGATCGGTATAAATATCACTGCCACAAGCCTCTCCACCTACAGGCCGTGAGATCATAGGCACTGAAGTCCCCAGCCCACCAAAACCCCAGGCTGCAGCAACACAGCGGCGCTGCTGGACCTCCTGACACCCGAGCTCTTCACAGAGGTGCAAACATGGAGACACAACTGGCATCAGACTGTGTAAAACATGAAACTGGGCACATCACCAGCTGAGAAGCCAGAGCCTTTGTCTCCCACACGCTCCTTGGATTTTCTGTCCCCGGGAAGGTGCATCGGCACAGCATTACCACACAGCGCAAAGCTAGATGGGGTTGGGCTACCCAGGGAAGTCAAAGATGGCCAAGCAGACGCGAGGCCAGTCACACCATCACACAAGAACAAATATCTTCGTGAACAGCAGCAGCAGCTTCTCTGTCAGGAGTAGTTTTAGCTGGAACAGAAGTCCTCTGACTGCAAGTATTTCCCCAAAGTTACCAGCAGAGATTCTGATTAGTGAAATGATGATTCAACCCTCACAGCCTTGAGGATGACCTGGCAACCTCCCAGAGCAATTCTTTCTGGGGGTAAATTTATGCAAGATTGCCAAACGCACCCAAAACAGAGTTTCTTCTGCAGACTAACAGCTGGGCAATGCAGATGACTCCAGGATCTATCACTACTCCCTCTGAACGGTTTGTTTCCATTCTGGAAAACAAACACACAGCAGCAAGGAATACAACTCTGACTTTCCTGACACGCTCTCTCCTGCGAGCAGCTATAGACTGACCCTAGCAGCAAAGCAAGGACCAGATCCAACAAACCCTGCGTGATGCAGAGCTCCTGACCCCCCACCCCAGCCCCAGCCCTCTTCCGAGAGCCGAGCTGATCCCCAGGAGTTGCTGGCATGCAAACCGCAACGCAAAGCCTTCACGGGCTGGTGCTCATTTGCTTATTACAGGAGTGTAAAATTCACTTTGAGAGGCGTTCCACGCTGGTCGTACCGCGCACACAACCAATACTTCACTTCTCACTCTGCTCTCCAGCGTGCCCAGCACCGA